CTTTCCCTAGTGTTCTTCTTCTTGCACTAAAGGTCACTGTTGATCCAGCTTCTCCTTAAAGAGACACGGCCCAGGGCCCTTGGTTCCACGGCCACGCTCCCTCCCCTCCTTGTGGGAGGAAGGCCTTACTGCTTTGGGTCTGAACCTCAGCTCCTGCAAGAAGCAGCTCGTAACCTGGCCACGTGCCCTCACTCCTCCGGGCCTTATGGTCCTCATCTGCACCACGAGGAAAACACTATCAAGAGGGCTGTTAAAAGGATTAGACGACTTAACAGTTCGCGGCACAGAATGATCATCAATCAACGCTGGCCCTCAATAAACGTCACATCCCCCACAATGTAAGAGGCGGTTTTGTCTATTTGATTCCATGCGGGTCTCTAGCTTCTAGGCCGGTGCCTGTTTCCAAAGTGCCCGTGAAGAAATGTTGAATGCATGAAAGAATCCACCCGATCACTTATTATTTCTGCCTTTCCAATGTCGTGCCGCAAGAGCAGAGGCAAGGAAGCACATGGAAAGGTCTTCCTTAAGCGGGTCAGACCCGAGGCCCCCAGCGATAACCGTATCTGCAAGGCGGGGAAGCCCATCGCGGGCAGCGTGCCGCGTCTTCCCGGAACAACGTGGGCGCAGGCCCGGAGCGGAAGCACCCGGCCGACCGGTTTCCCGGGAGGCCCGGCGCATGCGCAGAGCGCCGGCGCCTATTCCTTCCTTCCGGCGGCGCGGCCCGGAAGCCTCGGCCCCGACTCCTCCCCTTCGCCGGCTCGGCGGTGGGTGCGGAGCCGGCTGGGTGAGGAGGCGGGTTAACGTCGGCGCTGTCGTCGCTGCTGCCGCCCCTCCTCCTGTTCCAGCCGCCGCCGCCGCTTCACGGCCGAGTTCTCGCGGCCCCGGCGTCGCCCGGCGTGTCCAACTGCGCGGCCCCCACCCGCGTCCGCCCCGCCGCCGCGATGGCGACTCGCTCGTGCCGGGAGAAGGCGCAGAAGCTGAACGAGCAGCACCAGCTCATCCTGTCCAAGCTGCTGAGGGAGGAAGACAACAAGTACTGCGCCGACTGCGAGGCTAAAGGTAGCGCGGCGTGGCCTTCGGGGCGGGGGCGGGGCCCCTCAGCGACGCCCCGGCGTCCCGGGCACGGCCGGAGCGGGCGGCCGGGCAGGTGCCTCCGCGGGTGGGGCCGCCGGGCGGGCCGCGTCCTGCGCTCGGGCTGCGGCGCTGGGCGCCCGGGGCAGGGCTGACGGTGCCGTGGTCGGAGCGCACCGAGTACGGCAGCCGGGGCGGGCGATGAGGGTCGGAATTCATCCGTAGTGTGTTCTAGTCTGGCTTTTAGCCGGAACCAGGAGGAATTTCGTTATGTGAGTCTCTTGGACGCTGGGCTTCGGTTCCTGAAGCCTTTAACTCGATTCTCCCCAACCACCTAGCTGGGGGGAGTATATATGTGGACACTGGTTTGTATGCCCCTTAAACGTTGAAGGTGCAGTTTCAAGATCCAGAGACGAGAAGAACCTAATTTTAGTTTTTTCAGTTGGAGGGCTTTTGCCTCAGCCTTTGAAATAGAGGCGCTATTTTTAGCCTGCATGTTTTGGCTTTGGAGATGTGATGTATATTTAATGTCTTATAAGTAATCTCACGGGAAAAATGTTTCAGAGTTTTTTTTAAAAACAAACCTGTCCTACGGCTTGGCAGTAAAATCTTGCTTATTTGTAGGTTTGGTTGGTTTGGTGAGAGATCGGGGGTTCTCCAGAGCAGCAGTCAGCCTTTGCGAACGTCATTTAAGATTTCTGCACTGTTTGACCTAGACCTTTCCTGAAGCTTTCCTGTTCTTCCTCGATAGTGTACAAATAAGTCACGTCTCAGTGGGCAGGTAGTGTTTGATGAGACAGCCACACCGCATCGGCAGGTTCCTCTACTACAGCTCCTGGGCTACTGGGAGGTCCCGTGGCCAGACTATAACTGGACCATTTGATGAGCACTTTTCAATATCATAGTAGGTCGATTGGACCAACCTTAATATTTACCTCTCAGGTGATGAGTTGGAAACGCCTGACTATTGCACTAGTATTTGTTTACCTGATATTGATTATGTGTGTGGTTTTCGGGGAATCTGTTCGGTACTGAGGCTCAGTTGCTCACTTACCACTGCACTAGTAAAACCCTGGAAAATGGGCCTTTAAAAGGCCCGAAAAAGGAAGGAGCTGAGGTTTTATAGTATGCATTTTGAGTAATAAGTAGCATAGTTAGATAGAGATGCTAGTAAGCATTACATCTCTTCATTAAAAATTGAATAAGTTTCAGCAGTTACCTTCCTTTATGTATAGAAATCATTCAAAAATAATTTTTGTTCAAGTTTCTTTCCGCCGAAAGGTATTTTGTAAAATCAGATTTTCACTAATGCTTCCTAAAATAATTTATAGGTTTAAAAAAAGCCATTATTTACCACACGTTGACATTTCCATTTACTCTTTTTGGGGTGGGAGAAGGAAAATCAGGTACTTCTCAAATTAGGACCAAAACGTTACTTCTTCTGACCGGAGGCATAGGGAGCGTTAGTTTTGCTCACTAGTTGGATTGCCACTGAGGTCAGCAGATATGTATTGAATAGATGTCTTTTTTATTTTGGTTTTGTTTGGTCTTCTGTTTGTGGGTTTGTGTTTGAGAAGTGGTAGAGAAGAGAGTAGTACCAAGTGCTCAAGGATGTGCTGTGAAAGGCTTGACCACCACAGTCATGATTTAGAAAGGTCACCACTTTTTCCTATTGCTGATAAATCTAGAATAGTGTTAAAATGATCTAAATTATTTCACTGTCTTGATACTTCAGGGGAAAACAAATTACAGTTCAAACCACTTGTTGGTTGAATGAGACTTGATTTCATAGTTGTCATAATTGAAAAAAATGACGTGATTGGGCAGTTGCTATGAGTAAATATATTTTGTAAAGTTTTTGAGTCTTTGGTATGATCCAGCTCCATTAGGGAGCTCCCTTAGTGGAATTCTTGGCTTATTACATGATTTTGGATCCATTATTATGTACGCCAGATGACACAGTAAATGTAGGTAGTGGAATTATGATTATATGTACTTTTTTTTTTTTTTTTTTTGCGATATGCGGGCCTCTCACTGTCGTGGCCTTTCCCGTTGCCGGACGGGCAAGCTCAGCGGCCACGGTCACGGGCCCAGCCGCTACGCGGCACCGGGGATCCTCCCAGACCGGGGCTCCAACCCGTGTCCCCTGCGTTGGCAGGCAGATTCTCAACCACTGTGCCACCAGGGAAGCCCGCCCCCTGCATCGGCAGGCGGACTCTCAACCACTGCACCACCAGGGAAGCCCATATATGTACTTTTAAAAGACATGCTAAAGGTCTTATTTTACAGCTCAGTTATTATAAAGCGGTTCCATATTGTATATATGAATTGATGTTCTCCTCACTGCCTAATAAACTGCATCAAGCTTTTCATATACTTTGAAGCTACTTCCTAGTTAATTCAATTTTCTTTCTTATAAAGAATGCTTCCTCCACTGCTCTTTGTACCAGAGCTAAAGTTTAGGGCTAGAGATCGCCCTATCTGTTGCCTTCTACTAACCGGCAGAAGTCTGTCATTTGGGTTGTGGAATTTTCTTACTGAGTCACCAGTGTGTGCTTCCCCATTTGATAGTATTTGGGAGGTAAGGAAGGAGAAAAGGATGGCATAGGTGCCAGTTTCCTGCTCTTGGTGCTACTCTTAGCAAATCTGTTGAGAGACTGGAGAATAGGACAGGTAGGTGGTACCGCCCTTCCTGTCCCTGCCTCGTTTGGGGCTCCGTGGGAGTTTGAAAGCAGTTCTGTTGCTTGCCGGTTGGTGGCGCTTCACGGAGCTGTGAGGATTTGGAGCCAGCCCCTTGCCGACTTAAAAGTTAGTTTACTTTTCAGTGTTTAAAGTTTCGTCTGTGGTTGATGCTAGCTGTGATTCTGAGCACGTATGGGTTGGCATGAAAATGTGTCTAAGTTTTGGGGGGTCAGAAGCAGAAGGTGTTTGAACTCTAAAGACTGCCTGGTGTGGAGAGGTTAAGCTCTTGGCCCAGATCACCCACTCATTTCTTCACTCCAGACATCTTGACTTGAGGACACACTGCTGCGCGCTGTATTCGATTAGAGGACCGAGCATGTTTCTAAGACCTGAAGGAGCTTGTTTAGTGGGGGCTGCATTTTTGCGCATGAGTAATTCCAAACCAGTGTGCTCAGGGTTAGAATAGTGGTTGTGAGGAGTGCCGCCCTCGCCACTTACTTTGGGCTGCTTTTCTCCTTGCATCCTGACTTTTGTGCCTTGGTTGTCTTCACAGCTCCTAGAATGCTGTCTCAGGCCCTTTGCACATGATGTTTCTTCTGCCTAGGAAGCTGTCTAACAAGTTTTTACCTGGTCAGTTTACCTATCTTCCAGTTTCTGCTTAAGTGTCTCTTTAAGGGAAAGGATTCTCCTTGATCTTCCCACGTTAGGCGAGTCTTCCGCTTATACATGTAAGACGCACCCTGAGTCCTTTATTACACTTACCACAATTGTAATTAAACATTATTTGGGTAGTTATTGGGAAATCAGGGGTTGGGTTATAGCTTAAGAGGGAAGAGACCTCGTCTGTCTTGTTTTGCCTTGTAGGCCCAGCCCTTGGCACAGTGGGTGACGTATAGTAGTTCATGCGACTCAGCAAATATCTTTTGAAAGAGTGGATGTGAATGAGCACGGAGCTGAGGGCAGGCGGCAGGTGTGCGGACGTGAGTGCACATTTGGGCATGAAGACCAACCCGTTGGGAAAGACTCCCAGAAGCAGTCTCCTTTGATCCGGCTCTGAACGTGGGTGGGACTTCATCTACCAGGTGGAGAAGGAATTAAAGGGCACAGGCAGGTATATAAAACTACATGAGAGGTTTCCGTACAACCCTTTTTTAGGTAAAGTGTTTTTAAGTGTGCTCAGATTTGGTGGTGTCAGGTCAGAGGAAGAGCTGGGGTGGTGAGAGTTGGCTGGCAAGTCACCTGGTTGTAACAGTGGTCCCGGCAAGAGTGTAAGAGGACCTGAACTCTCTTAATGTGAATGTACCGTAAGTCAGACCACAGGGCAGGAAACAGAACCACCGTAGCTGCCGTATAATTTCTATTAAGGAATAGGCTGCTCCACAGCATCGTTGAAAGGGCTGGAGTAACAAAAGTCAGGGAGCCACTACTGGACTTCTGGTTTCAAGGGCACACGCTGTTGCCCCTGCCACCACTGCCCTGCTGCTTCTTCCCCTGAACTGATCGGAGAACCAGGACTGAGGCTGCTGCGGCCAGTGTCTGTTAGACGTTTTTGTCGGTTGCCCTGACTGTAGAAAGATGGCCTCTGCTGCGCTTGTGCCTTCCATGTGCAGACCACTGGCCGACCTCATTGATATCCAGTCCCTTGCCTTCAAGGGAGGCTTTTAGCTTTCTAGCCTCTTCACAAATTAGAAACGTGAAATGGAGATTGTGAGGCCCAGTCCTAGAGTCCACTGTGGGTAGCTGAGGACGGGAAACGTTTTTCATTGTGTTTGATACTTAAGAGTTCTTATATAAACCTATTTTAAAGTAATTCTCAGGGCTTCCCTGGTGGCGCAGTGGTTGAGAGTCTGCCTGCCGATGCAGGAGACACGGGTTTGTGCCCCGGTCCGGGAAGATCCCACATGCTGCGGAGCGGCTGGGCCCGTGAGCCATGGCCACTGAGCCTGTGCTCTGCAACGGGAGAGGCCATGACAGTGAGAGGCCTGCGTACCGCAAAAAAAAAAAAAAAAAAAAAAAATGTAATTCTTATTAAAAAGTGAAGTTCACCTTGAGGTGTTTATGATGATGTTGATGCTTGTAGGATAAATTCATGTAAACAGAAGTCTGTGATTATAATTCATCTAAAGAGACCTGCCAATCTAAAAGTTCCCCCAGAATGCTAAACTTCAGTGTTACGGGTCCGTTCGTATAATTCTGTGGATCCTGAGGTTTTCCCTGATGATTATGTGCAGAGTTCTGGTGTTGGAGCTGCGATGGAAACCACGGGTCTCTCTGACTCATCAGTTCATAACTTTGGCTGCATGTGG